GTTCTGAACCTTTGTCATGAAAAGGAAAAACTCGTTGAATTCCAATGAGAAGTTCTCAAGACTCTTTCAAGAGTCATTATGTACTTTTTTTCTTGGGTTGGGTCAATTCAAGTTTTGTTAACGTTTTTAGATTGTCTGGTCGTAATGGATGGTCTGATAATGGAAATGATTGAAATGAGAAAGAAAAAAGAAAACAATATTTTTCGATTTTGTCATTCAATTGGTGATTCTCCTTTTGTGGTTCAACATGCTTTTGTCTTGTTTCATGTAAATTAAGTTAAATGCTCAATGAGTTTTCCCTGTAAATGTATGCACTTGAAGTAATGAAAGAATAAAAATCAACAGAATTATCCATTTATCTTTATTAACGAAATGATCGAATCTTGCTTTTTCGTTATTCGATGGTCATCGATAGCTGATGCTTTTCAATGAAATGCTCAATGGCTCTGAATTATCAATATTGTTATTGAAACAATTTCACTTCAATTAACCATTAGACTGATTGGTGGGATAACTTTGCTTTTTACCTGTTCTTTTCGACTTGTTTTCATGGAAAAGGGTTGAGGGTAATGAGCAAGGTTTGAATGTTCAATAATGTAAACATGTTGGTTTGTTGTTTACTGGTGAAGCAAATTAAAGTAAATGATAGTTAGACACTTGGGATTGGAACAGGATAACCATACAAAACAGGTAATCATGTAGATTAATGTCATTATTTATTGCATCAGAACATTGTATCAACTAATGTTCTGAACTGATAGACTGGCACTCGAGTTTATTCCAGTGATTGGGCACTTTTCTTCATCCAATTGTCTTGTTGTCCATAAAACATGATTAGTCAAGTAAATAAGCCGTTACCTTTGTACCAATCAAAAGTGTCACTCATTTGGTAAACATTAATCTAGATTCAAGTATTAAATTCAAGTGAAAAAGTCGCTTAAAGCAAAGTTCAACTCGAATCATGATTTATTCAAATTCAAGCTTAATGAATGTCATCAGGCTATTCTCAATTATCGTTGTAATCACAAGTTTTTACATAAAACTTGTTACTTTGAACACTAGTAATAAACATTCCTCTTCGAGAAAAGTGAAAAGACGAAAGAAGTCGAAGTTACAAAAAGAGAAAAAAATTCAACTTGATAAAGTTCCAAACTCACGAAACTCTCGAGTTTCGATAATGAAAAGCTCTGAAAAGCTCATTGGATTATTTGCATCAACTCACATGAAATCGATGAAAGAATGAATAAAGTACGAAATTGAAAAGTTTTAAAATCTAAAGCTCGATAAGTTGATGGCAATTGTCTGGCACTTGAGACATTTTGCAAGAAATTGTTCTTTTAATTAGAACTTCGAAGGTTGAATGTTATAAAATGAAAAACATTGTTCCAAATGAGAGGAAAGTTAACCCTTTTCAATGGTTACAATTTGTAAGTTTAAAATTGAATCGAATTGAATGAGTCTAATTTAAAACTCGTTTAACCTCACAACATAAGTTTTCTTTGGAAAACAGTTTATCTTAAAGTTACGAGACTGAAAAATGGGTTGCATGAGAGACTCGGAGAAATGAAGATAACAAAGGAATACACAAAGTTGGGTGAAAATAATCTTCATTGAGATGTAAAATGAGAGTAAATTCATTTTAAGAATTGAAAGAATGATAAAGAGAAACATTATTCTCATGTAACTTCGTTTTCCCCCTGAAAAAATGACTACAAAATAAACTTGAATCTGAGACTGGAATAAGTCGACATAAATAATAATAGAAATGAAAATTTGCAGACAAGAATAGCTGTTTGCTTGTATCGATTATTTGACTGAGAAAATGAAATAAAATGTATATTTTTTCATTCCAATAATTCAATCAATAAAAAAGGGTTTAAACACAATGAGACTTTTCCGCAATTTTTGTTCTTCTTCCTGAAGAGTAACAAGAAAAAAGAGTTTCTTCAATGAACAAAAAAGACTGTTTTGTCAGGGAAAATAAGGAATGGAAAAAGGTTGACAGTGAAAAGCCTAAAGCAAATTAACAGTTTTCATTGATAATATTAACACTTGAAAGTGGCAACATGAAATATTAATATTTTTTGGTGAGAAAAGGATAAACTTAGTTGATGAATTTTGCATAATTTTTTATCATTTGTTAACAGAAAGTGTTTTATTTAATAAAACTAATTAACAGTAAACTGAGTTATCAATAAAAATTGAAATATTGAACAAAATGTTGAAAGTTGAACAATAATTGAACAAGTTTAAATGTTACAGACAAAAAAACTCTTGAACCAATTAGAGTTACTTTTTGGCAAAATTTTTTGTCTTTTCTCTGAAAACAAATGAAAATGAAATTCATAGTCCTTTGAGATTAACTAGTGATATTAATAACTGAAGTTAAATGAAATTTATCATCAGGTTAAGTTTTCAGTTACATCAAGAGTTGATTGTTACAGAGTTTCAAATGTTTCAATTATCAGTTCAATGGAAATTCTGGTTCGAAAGATTAGTCCATGTCAATGCTTGGTTAATCCTAAACAGTTGAAAGAATATGTTTATAATTTAGAAAATTCAAATTTCTTTTTCATAGAAATTGATTCGAAATTTGCTTTTGGTGTTTCCATTCAGATTACTTGAGATGCTAGCTTTACAAGTTGCTGTGTTGGTTCATCGAACCATGAAAAGATATTTCTTTTTAAATTGTATCAAATTCTTGACCAACATGTTCATGTTAAGGAAACTCTTTAGACTTTTTGATATTTTCTTATTGAACATCAGTGTTGAAATGTATCTTAACCGTGAAAATTAAGTGTGAAAGCATTTGTGTGAAGCTTGAGATACTTTTAGTCGAGAAAATGTTTTAAAATGAAATCAAATTTCATCATTAGTTGACTGATGATACTTTTCAATGGATTTTTGCTCTTATGGCTACTATTATCGTCATGAGAAAGGAGGGAAAAAAATGATTCCAAGTTGAGTCTGAATTTATTTTTGAAGAGAGAAATGTTGCCCTCAATTTTTCTCTTGAGAATCGTTAATATAAATGTGAAAGAAGCCAGTTTTTGTCAAAAAAATTTCTCAAATAATCAATTAAAAGAGAGGAAAAATGATGAGCAAAAGGCTGGTAAAGATGAAAATGGCGATGAATTTGAGAGCAAAATGACAAAGTGGATTGAATGAATTTACAAAACCAAACTATTAAAGTTGAAGTAACCAAAAAAGTGTTTGAATGGAGGTAAAGTGAAGAAAAAAAAGAAAGAATGAAAATGAATTAAATTTTTCTTGGCACAACATCACCTCGTCAAGCTGAAGATGGATGATATAATGTATAGCATTTGTACGAGTTAAGGTACCAGAAGAGTGATGAGAAAGAAGATGAACAATCATAAGTCTGGTAAAGTGAGAATAAACTGTTATCCTTTGATAATAAAAAAACATTCAGTTAATCGTGCCCGATGACAAACAAGACGAATTATTTGAGAATATATTTGAAGGGAAAAAAGCAAAGGGTTAACTCTGCAATATTGTTATTCTTAGTGATTCTCATTCGATCAGATGAGATGGAAAAGATAGAAATTTTATTTGGCAAAGTTTGTGATTCCTGAGATGAGTTCAATTCTGTATCACACAACGATTAATCTTTCTTTGGTGAACTTATTTTCGAGCAAAAAAAATCTTTCGTTTTCTTTTAATTTGACAGATTCTTTTCATATTTATTACAGATTTTGTTTCAATTTTAGGTGAAAATTGGTGAAAAGGTTCAAATTACGAAAAAAAAAGTAAAACTCTTTTCTCAAATGGAAAGAATGAAATTGAAATTTTCTACTTTTCTCATTGTGATGCGTTTCATTTAATTCAATATAAATGCTTTGCATTCACAGTAAAGTGTTCATTGGTTCTTGATAAATGATTTATCGTTCAACTTTAATCTCGAAAGTAAAATTTGAAACAGATTTGCTGGAAAAATTCATTTCCAAATTTACATTCAACTCTGGATTCCATTTTCAAGTCAATTTGAGGTTTTCTCACTTTGATTGACTGTTTATTAGTATTTATATTTATATATTTATTTCTCGATAGGTAATAAGTTATGTCAACGAATCAGATGGAAATGATAACAAACTTGGATCCTCTTGAGTAAATGAATGAAGATTAATAGACGAGAAAATATTTGGAAACAATCAACCTTTTAAAATGAGCTCATCATATTTGATGCTTTCAACATTCGAATAGATATTTATATAAATTTTGGAAAAGTCAAAATTCGCAAGTTATTCGTAACTGATACTTTCAAAGGAAAGACCAAAGGTGATGACAGAATAAAATTGGTGGCAATTTTTTCTCCATTCACTCAATTCATCTCAAATTTACAAGAATTATAGATTAACTATCGAGCCAAGATGAAGTTGAATCTACTCTTCATGTTAACCTTTTACTTACGGTTGGACATGAGTTTGCCTAATTGATTGGCAACTTTAATTGCTTTACTTTTTTTACATTTTTTGCCAAAATAGCTTCTCAGATGAACCAATTTTTCCTCATGAAATAACCTTAGTAACAATTTCTGCCTTCATGAGCAGTTTAATATTTTGAGCAATAAGTCAAGACACTCGGATAAACACTCCAACAACTCAAACATAATTTACCAATTAAATTGTAACAAAATCTAACAACAATTAATTTTTGTTTATTTGGAAATCTTAGTTTATCCAGATAACTCGCAATTAGCCAAATGTGTATTTGGCTCGCTACTGACATGGCTGTGAGTTCAACAGAAATCACTTCTGAAGTTTCTGAAATTTAAAAATTCTTCTAATGAATTCAGGAACAAAATGAAAGTTTGTAAATCTTGGTTTCTTCAAAAATTGTTTGAAATTCAGATTCTCGAGTTTCAAGTGTTAAGATGGTGATTCGAGATTCATTACTGAAAGTTGCTAAAAGTTGCTATTTGTTTGTAAACATAAAATTGATTTGATTAATTATTGAATGTTGTGAACTGAATTGGAACTTACCTTTAAAGAAAGGCCGCTTTATCGGAGCAGTTGGAACTGTTGATAGTCGTCCATGTTTCATGTCATCTTCTTGTTGTCTTCTTCGAGCAACTTGTTTGGCCATAACCTTCTGCCTTTCCTCCGTTATTAGACAATCGGCACAAACACAATCCTTAAACTTACAAAACCTTTTATGACCTGGAAAAAAGTGAAAAGAGTAAGCAAATCAAAAATTAATTCATATTTTAATCCATTTTTCGATCAACTTGTCAACCAGAGAAATGTCAATATTATCATTTTGTTTCCTCTTTGCTATTTACATGAGTTTCAAGACGATGTTAAACTCATTTCAATATTATTTACTCGGTAAATTATTTTCTCTTCCTACTTTACTGTCAAAGATAAATTACCTCAGTAAACGTATTAACCCTTCTAATGAAAAGAGTCTTGGTTTTGATGACAAACCTAATGTATTAATTGGCTTGCATGTGATGCTAATGAGACTGATAGCAAGAAAAATCAGTGCAACAAATTATAATTTGTTGCTTTGGATGAACAAGAAGAACAAGGAAAAAAAGGAAAACTTCTGAATCGAGTTTCATCGAAAGTTGAATTTGAAAATCATCAACTAGTTAATTGACTTTATGGCTAAATGAGGAACTGAGAAGGATGAGAAATCGAGAAAAAAATAAGTTGAGAGTCGAGGGAAGATGGAAGATAAAAGATGAACAAAATGTTAATTGGTAACAGTGTTTCAAGGATGAAACATGAGCGATTAAGAAGATGAGAAATCAACTCGAAATTGTTAATGAAACTTTACGTTGAGAAGCAAAAAAGTTAACCATTGATTGTTTGTGCGATTATTAATCATCTAAATTAAAAGGAAGCCGAAATCAAGTTGAGAAAATAATCACCTTTGAAACAATGTTTCAAGCCCGATTGACTGGTAAAACACTTTGACGTAAAGTAATGATGATGATTCACGATTAATCACATCAACTTTAAGATTAACTGAATAAAAATTAATTTGATTAAAGGTAAAAGAAATATGAACATTTGTTAAAGTCAACATTGAGATTCCGTAAAAGTTGACTGTTATTAATCATGAAAGATAATTGATAGCAAACTATTCAACATTCTGTCTATAATTAAACGAATTGTGTTCAGTCTAGAAATTAATATAAATTACTCAAGTGAAACTGGTAAAGTTCAAGACAGTCTGCTCGAAATGAGAATAACATTAAGGTTGTAAATTGAGACGCAATACAATGGGCAATGTTCAGAGTTAACAGGATTCGCAACTTAAGGTTGAAGGATTGCGTTCTCATCTAGACAATTTATGAAGTTCAGATCAGTTTAGATGTTTTGAATGAGTTCAAGATAACTGAGATTTTCTTTGGGTTTGAGGCAAAACTTCAGTTGAAACTGAGTCAATTCAAAAGCCTATTTATGATATCGAAGTCGCCCGTTTGAGTCAGTCTTTTTGATCTGTTTATGCGAATGGTTTAGCGTTATTTTCACACAAATTCAATCGATTCTTCAATTTAAATAAGAGCGATAAATTTATGTGCTTGAGTTTTTTCTTGCCTCTACCGCCCTTGGAGACGCTCGAGAAAGTCAAACGATTGAAACTTTTTGCACTTTGGGTGAAACTAAACTAAGCTTCTTTAAGCCACTCGATTGGAATGAAACAGAATTCGTAATAAGAGGAACATGACCTTGAGAATATTTAGAACCAATCAATACAAATTTCGACCGTCTTCTGTTGATTTTTTCGAGTTAATTTTGCCGCTAATCAGTAGTTAATTGCCTCAGAGGCCAGTTTGATTCTACGAAGAGCCTCATCAGCACAAACTCACTGTGTTTGGATGATTTTGTGTTACTCTCTAAGTGTTTCAAGTGTATATTCAATAACATCTTTTGGTAAATCATCAGTTCCGAACGGAATCCAACTGACTAAGCTAAGTTGTTATCTTAGTTTGATGTGTTCATCAACTCATAAGTTTACACGCTGAAAAGAGTATCTCTATCTCTTTCATCAAAAAGAACTTTCTCATTACAGAAGTTTCTAAAGCTCACATGCTCCGTGGCTAAGAACTTCTGAAGGAAACATCTAGATGTTTAGTTTGAGGTTTGATGAAGCGATAGCGTGTTTGGAAAATAATGTTTTTAAAATGGAGGGACCTTTGTAAGGTTAAAATTACTGAACATTACAAATAAAAGAAAAAGAAATACGTGGCTGTTCAGCTACTAACTTTGATACTGGACGTGTTATTGGACTGAAAATCGAACATATTAAATTCATGACTAATTGTCTTCGTTCGTTTTCGAGGAATGTATCTGGATAATGGATTTTCTCACATTCTCAATTCATGACAATCCCAAGTCGTTCTCGGTGAATGTATCTGGATAATGTGTTTGTGAATTTCGTATTCAAAGTAGTTAGAGCAATCGCTTCAGAAACTTAACGTTATGTTTATGGATTATGTTGAATGAATTTAAAACTAGGCTGCACTTTGATTAATTAGTTGACACAAGTCGAGAAATTACTGGATTCCCTAAAAGTTGAAACCCTGAATAGTGACATTATTTATGTCAATGCTTCTCTATTGAGAGTTTCTGAATAAGTTGATCTAATTTGGAAAGCAATTCCTGACCAAATGAATAAAAATCTGAAGCAAAATTGAGAACTCAAGATAATGATGAGATTAATTTAAATTGAAAAATCAATAACATGAACAGTATCAAGTCTAAGGTTTAAAGTTTATCTTTTACTCGAGCAAATATTTGATCAAATATTTGTGTTAACTTGTTGAAAAGTATGAAAGAGCAATTTGAATAAAGTGAAGACCATTAGAAAGGTTAGTTTACCCTTTCATTTTGCATACCAATCATGAATTTAGAGAAAAAGAGAAAAAAAAAGAATTTACAATTTTTCAGTTTGAATGGCGAAAAGAGAGATTCTTCTTAAATCAACTTGCAGGTTGATTGAAGGATAAACACTTAAACTGTTTCACATTAACTTTTCAACAAACTCAACGTCAAAACTCGAGCAATAATGTTGGCAACAGAGGGAAAGAAACGATAACAAAAATACAGAAAAGCAAATCAAATGAGAAGAAACAAAAAGTAAAGTCTCCCCATTCAAAGCTCAATAAATAACAAGGTAAAGAGCAAGGTGAAGGCTGACTAAAAGTGAATGAAAAAAGTATAATCTTTACATTTTTTTACCTTTCATTCAACTGATTTGAAAATGAATGATAAATATAAGCAGGTAAAAGGTGAAGAGTGAAGTAAAAATGCAACACAAAACTGGTTAACTTTATTTCCATACTATGTTTACTTCAGGTTACCAGCAATTTGTAATCTTCAAATAAATAACACTTTTCATTGATTTAAACATGGAAAAGGGTGAGTTAAATGTTCATGCTCAATCAGGAAGATTATTTGAAGAAAATGAAGAGAAACTGAAACATGCAAGAGAATATGTTGAGACAGATTCAGTCTGGTTCAGTTTGAACTTTTTCTATTCTCTTTCGGATTCTCCCTGTTGAACAGCTTTATAATGCAAGTTGACGAGTTTCATCTTCAACTATAATTTCAAATGTCAAGTAACAGTTTGTCCTATGATTAAAGTGCATCGCACTCAATTTGAAACAAATTAATCCAAAAAAAGATGAAGAAATGTTCAACAAAAAACAGATGAGTTTAAATTCACCAGATTGCATCATGTTGATAAATGAATAAATAAATGAAAAGAACACAAAAGAATACAAAAAAATATTTCCAAATGTCAAATCTAGTAAATTAAACCTTCCAAAAGTACATATTTACCATGCTAATCAAATCTCCAGAATCCAGACGAAAAAAGTCACATGAAGTAAACGCAACGAAACGGATTTTTCGCAAATAACAAGGTAATTCTTTTTCTGGAGCTTCAGGTGTAAATAGGGAATAATGATTGGAATTTTTTCAGAGAATTCTAAGATAAAAGCTTTCAACAGTCGATTGAGAAAGAATGTGAGACAATTAAGAATTTTCACCTTCAAAGGAAAGACTTAGAATAGCACAAAATAAAACTCAATGACACTACTCTTTCAATCCCGAAACAGAACGGAACTAACGAGCTTTTCATGCGAAATATTTTTATCTTGAAACTTTCAGTTGGGACAAAAGAAAATAGAGTTTTATCAATGGCTAAAATATTCACATCAGAATACGATTCCAATTGATTCAACGATGCACTCTGTACCATCTTCAAGGAGATCAAAAATATTGATATTAGCTGGTTTAATAGCCTTTGAATAGCTCAAAACGATGCTCTAAATGCTAAATTAGATGAGTTGAGTATTTTAAGAAAAAAAGCAAACTCTTGATCATGATTGATAGCAAATTCTTTTTTACTGAGACGATTCATTCAATTAAAACTTAGAAGACTCTAATTATTAACGAAAATCCCATTTTCAAAATGAGAAATCCAGAAACGGGATGTAAAATTACTCTACAACAGAACAAAAATGCAACCGAAGTTATTTAACATTAAAAGCGATCTCATTAAAAATTTTCGATCAAAGAAATGTTTCAATTACAATCCATCCACACCAAAAGACCAGAATTTTTGATAAAAAAAAACCTTTGTCAGCACAAGAAAGGCAAAAATTAAAATATTACATAAAATTCTGGTCCAACAATGAACCCTAAACCTGAATAACAAAAAAGTTTCTCCTCACTCAATGTTATTGAATACGGATTCTACATTCTTCTCCCCAGCCTCTATTTTCATAAATTTCTCAAAGATTTGAAACCTGAGGTGGATTTCCTATTTCTCATTATTGTAGTTCAATTGGTACTTTCAGGCTGAGTAATTTTTCATAGAACCCGCTCAGTTTGGCAATAATTTCGACTCAAAATTTGATACATTGACAGATTGTATGCATAGATGAATGTGATTAGGCATTTCAGATGAGACTTTTCGTTTTCGAATCGACTGTACAGCGAGAATTTGCAAAACTCCAAAAGTTAATTCTTGAACTGATCAGACCGATGGTCACTTTGCAATTATCTTTTGTCTGGTTCAGTCTAAATTAAAACTGACATTTCACAAGAAACTTAATCAACTGTCCAACTTTGATCACAATCGTTAACTGTCTTTACAAAGTTAGTGGAGCGAAAGTGAAATACCAATGGACCAGATTAGGCTAATGTACATTTCAATGGTCTTCTCGTTAATACAATGTTTAAAAAACGCCAAGTTGAACTTGTTTCTGTGTTGACAGTTAATCAGACAATTACTCTTTCTCCAGATTATTAACAATGAAATGTTTTCGCTTCGTTTTAGCGTCAACATAATGATAGTTGTGTTCATTAAGAATTATTGATCAATCAAAGTCGATATTTTAGGAAACAATAAATGTTCTTTCAGGTTAGAACAGAATGGAGAATAAGAAAGATTTACTTTTAATGATCAAAACTCATGAGCATATTGATGCCAATCGAATAAAAAAGAAACAGAAAAATGAATTAGACAAGATAATTAGTTACTTTGATGCTCGAATGTCGCCCAATTTTCCTTATACTTTAATCATCATCATTATCACTTTAACGTTTCTCATTCAACTAAAGGCTAAACAAGTTTGAATAAAAGAACAGCCAGTTCCATGGAAACTGCATGATATTTTTGTGTTGCTTCTTCTTCTTCTTACTTTTTTTTCCATCAAAACTATTCAGTGCCATTGATCCTCTTAAACACACCATGAATCAAGTGAATAAGAATATCGAAAAAGAAGAAGAACCTTCTCCATGATGAAAACAATCAATGGATGTTGATAGTTGTCAGGGCAATAATTTACAGGAAACTGAGAGAATAGAGAAATGATATTCTTAAAAGTATCGAAAGGATTTTGCAAAACTCAAACTTTTTTTTCTTTCTCTTCAAGAATCTAATCGAGAATCGAAAAAAAAGAGAAAAAAGTTTCTTCAATTTGCATCTTTTACTATTGGAATCAATTTGATTGGTAATGTTTTCGTTCACTCGAAATCGAGTTAAATGTCAATTACATCAAATCATTTCTCTTGACTCATGCTTTCGTCTAATGTAATACTTCACATGAAAATAGTTTTTTCCCTCTTCGAATATATTCATTTTCCTTTTCAATATTTCATTCTATTTACAGTTCATCAGAAAATTTGTCAAAAAACAAGAAACTATTTGAACAGTAAATTGCAAATAAGATTTGGATGATTACATGAAAAGTGTCATCATTCAGTTGATTCAAAAGAATGAGATTAACATTAGAATTTTTTAAAAAAATGTTTTCTTTCGACGAGACAAATGATAAATGAACAATCAAATGTAACTAAATTTGTCTCATGAACCATTTGGCGGTTTCAGTTATTGATTCAGACTAAGGAACTTTCAGTGAAATAGAAGAGACGAGTTTCAAATTTTAAAGATTCATCCAGATTCGAGTCCAATTCAAGGGCAGATTAATTCAGAAAAAAGATCTTCGAAGATTTTTCGTCCTAACAAAAGCTTCCGAAATTCATCTTAAATCTATTCAAGAAAAAACTTTTAATCCATTTCATGCTAAGAATTTGAAACTAACAAGTTTTGTAAAAAAACTGATTCGATTGGATTGAGATTCGCATTTATAAAGATCAGTCGTTAAGCAACATTGGAAGTCAAAGTTTCGAATTCGATTTGCAAAATTCGCAAACTTCTGAAAGAATCTATCATTTCTGAACTCTATCGACACAATTCAATATCGAAAAGCGCTCTAAAAAATTATTCTTTATTTGGAATGGAATTGTATCGAAATTGAAAGTCCTAATTGTTATTCAAAGAAATAATTCAAGACATCGTCATGTTGTGTCCACTCTTAATCTACTTTAATCTTATCGTTAGAGGAAGTTATTAGTTACTAGTTCATGAATAAATTATGTTGCGATGGAAAAGATGAAACGTTGAAATTTCCAGATTAAACGAAAAATGGATTTAAACAAATCTGATAATTGTTAGATGGCGCCCAACGAAATGAGCCAACTACGTTTGCATGCTATTATTAGAAACACTAATCTGATTAGATATTAATAACTTTAATCAGCAACCATTATCATAACCAAATTAACCAAAAAGACATTGCAAGTTGAAGATAACCGATTAAAATGTAATGATAAAATAGTTGAATGGCGTTTTTGCCTGACATTGAAGGTCACTTTAGATTTCAAATTCAAAGCAATTAATTAGAGACTGGAAACAGTTTACCAATCACAAGCAAACTGCTTAAAATGCTATCGTTTAAATCCACTTGATTAGATCGAGTTTGACTTTTAAATAATCATCGTTATCAAATGAAATGTTAATTAATACCTTCAAGATTTAGTGAAAGTTCAACAGAAGCTTCTTCAAGATTTACAAGCAACATGGGAACAAAAGATTTGCTTAATGATTAAAACGTTATACGAAAGTTTCATCAACTTTAGTAACAACATGAAACTGAAATTAAAACATAAACAGTAAACCATTGTTAAACAATTAGACAAGCATGCAATCAATCGAATCATTTGACAATTAAAAATCCATATTCTTTGATTGATGAAAATTTTCTCAGCTTTTATTTCAATTTTGTATCAACTCAAGATTAAATGATTACATCTTAACAACTCAATTGATTATGAAAAATTGCTTAAAATTGATTAAGTTAAGGGTCAAAACGGTCAAGCTTATCTAAAGAGGAAAATCTAAATGTTTAGAAGTTGCAATTTCGTTGATTAAATCTTAAAAGGTGAAATCGAAAAGAAAATTGACTTTCAAATGAACAATTAATTGGCGCAAAAATGAAAGACATTTGCTTGTCAGTTGCAAGTTAAATTGATTTAATGCATTTGTGATAATTGCGAGTAAATGTTTAACTCTTTATTGCTCTGGAAATGGCTGTTGATAAGCTATTTCTGGATAGACTAATTATCTGATGGATTGAATCAGTGAGATTCATGATCATGGTGACTGTGATAGTGAACAGAGAAGACATTGTGTCATCTGATAGGCTGTAGTGAAGCACATCAAGTTTGCTTGTTCCTCATCAACAAACATAAAATATCATCGCTTGTATTGAATGAATAGACTTTCAAGATTGTCGAGTTGATTGATTAAAATGAAGAAACAAGGAAATCGAAAGAGAAAAAATTGCAAGAGAAAAAGTAAGAAAAGAAAGAAAGAAAGAAAAGAGATAAATTGTCATTTCTCTTCTTTACTTAACCCAATCAAAGGGACAAACTCACCTTTAAGATCAGATTGAACTTGATGGTTTCGACAACGAGCACATTGAGGCTTTCGAGTTCTTTGATCAACATTGTTTAAGGTTGAAGAGTCAACATCAACTTTATCAGTTATTGAAACTGGTGAGCTTTCACCGCTTGCACAGCTACCACAGTCTTTCATTGAATCATGTCCTGAATTACCTTCAACCATGGAAAGTCTGGCACTTTTATCAACCATCGATTCAACATTGAATAGATGTTGGACCTTTGAGTTTTCATTTAATTCACTTTGAGTCCCACTTTTGGAACCAGATTCCTTCAGATAATTTTGTATCTTTACTTTATACTTCATGGTTTGATGGTTGTTACTGTTGTTGCTGTTACTGTTGATGTTGCTGTTGTTGTTGTTGTTGTTGATATTGTCTCCAACCTCCCACCTCCACACGTTCCAGTGATACACTTTTGCTTGATTATCAGTCACTTTGACGCTTTTATAGTTGATCGACAATTGGGCGACAATTTGTATTATTCAATAATTCTGTAACTGTGATTAGAATGAAAATAAAATGGTTCCTGATAACTGGTATTTTGCTGTGTAAACCCCAAAGTTTATTTGGGATCCAATGGTGAAGACAGACTCGAGACTGTTCCGTATTCACTGTTCATGGTAACCATAGTGAATCGAATGGTTAGGAAATAGCGCAAGACTCAATCGAAATTTGAAGACAAGATGAGAATGAAGATGATGGAAGAATGAAGAGAAAGAGAAAGACTGGAGAAAAGAAAGTAAAGGAAAGGAAGGGTTCGTTACCATGCATCTGTTACCATTGCATTTATTCAAGGTTATTTCTCGAACTTTACTTCCGCATTTCACATTCAATCAATCAAGGTAATCAAGAGACATCTGTTATTGGGTATTAAAACTAACAAATAAAATGCTCAATTCAACCTTTATCTCACATCTTTTCACTTTCATGCTGCCATCTTCATGACAACTCATTTAATCTTGTTTTCTGGTTTAACCTTTAATTTAATCTTTAAGCTTGATGAAGGAAACTTGAAGATTTGATAAAAAATTTGCTTTAAATTGAATCGCAATTTTTTTGGGTTCTTTATCAATCGACTTTTTTTCTGGTTTTGCTCGTCTAGTGATATTTTTAGAGATTGAAGGCACAAAAGGGTAACAATTGATCCAATTTGAAAATGTGATAAAGGATTAACTGATTAACTATCTTATCGTTTAATTCAAGGTTTCCTGAAATTTTCCACTTTTTTTGTTCAATCGCATTGGAAAACATCTCAAGAGGTAAATGTGATTGGGTGAATGAGTGTAAGAGTTTGCTGAAACAGTAAAGAGACAAAGTCACTCAATTTTAATCGCAATTAGCTTTTTCAAGTTTTCATGATTTACTCAATGTGAATTATTCTTACGGTCAATTCATTGAATTTCACAATTTATCGATCAAATATTCAACAGAATAAATTGACACTTGAATCCCTTGAATTTTTCATTGAAGGTGAACATTGAAAATGGATCGAAAATTTAGGTTTCATTAATTTCAAGATCTGAGGTTTCTAGTTTAACCTATTAAAGCTAGCTGAAAGTAATGTTTATAAAAAAATGAAATAAAACCAAAAAATTGGTAAAGTCATGAAATCGCAGAACTTGTAATATCTTTAATGAATTTCATGACAAAACTCACTGATCTCTTAATATGCAACTGTATCAGTATTGGTATACAATTTTGTTGTTCATTAACTGACTTTTAAATCTGTTTTTTCCAATCAACTGGAAAAATAAACCTTATAATACATTGTATCTGAATAGATCAATAAAGTCCATCAAACGAACTTCTGCCTCTAATGATGGTCGTTCATCAAATGGTTGTTTTCAAATTAAAAAGTAGATTAGATTAGTTTACTTCTCGTTGTCTCAACTTTTCATCTTCACATGCAATCACTTGTCTGCCTTTTCATTATTTTTGCTCAATGAAACAATAAAACGAAACTATTCTCAAAACTTGGATCATTACCGAAAAATTAAACAAAAAAATTAAGCAATTGAAGGTTATCATGAAAAGGCATGATCAATTAAAAAAGAAGAGTAAAAGTGAAAAGTAGAAAAATAAGTTTCGAAAATAAAGTGAAAGAAAAAACAAAAGTGAGATAATTTTCACATTCGACTCTCAACAGAACCATGAAGTTGGTGATGGAACAATCAGGCCAATCATTGTCCAATTATCTCAACAAATTTTCTCTTCTCAACTTACATTATCTGCCAACACAGACTTCATGGAACTGTTTCCTGTTTCAAATATTCAGCCTTTTCTTTCTGGTAATGGCACTATTCAAAGGGTTTATATTCATATTAGAACCATTCAGTCCTTCGACTGCTCTTTTGCTCGGCGATTACGCCATTAACCTCGGTGCACCTCATCACTTTTTACACTCGATTAACCTTCTTTGGCTTTTGTGTGGTTTCATTTGTTTCAACTTGATTCAATCGACAAACGTTTCACCCAAAAAACAATTCTGGTTCCATTCATTATCCATTCTAGAGGGCGATGTTCCTGACTGGACAAGAGGAACCAAAGCAGTTGTCATTTACCTTTTCTTTCACAATCTAAAGTCCAACCTCATTCTTGGCGGTGCATTCAGTTGGTGTTTGTATATTCCAGTGCTCATTGAAAGTAATTCAACAGAACAATTTTTTTTCCTCAACCTTTCAGGTTTCAATGGTGCAATTGCGGGTTACTGTTGCACTGCTTTTTGTGTCAACTTTTCCTTTATATTCGCCTTCTATTCTGTAACCACTGCTTTGAAGTACGATAAAATTGCATCGAGATTGAGGAGACAAGTCTCGACTCTTTCCGATCCAACAATCATTGACTCGATAAATCATGATTTAATTCAGTTGTTGATTGAGAATCATAAAGCAAACTATTTTTGGACTCAACTCAATTCGACCATTTTTCTTCTTACTTTTATCGCTCAAATTCCCATTTTATATTTGATCTTTTTTGTACCCTTGACCAACTTTACCAAGTTTTCAATGGTCATTCTGGGTGCGCTCAACTTTCTTTGTGGCCAATCGATTACCTTTCTTAGTGGTAGTTTTGCCAAAACAAAGGTAATTGTTGTCTTTACGATTTCATTGAATATTGAAAATTGTGTTTACTCTTTTGTTTCTTTAGCTTGACAAATGCCATAAACAGCTTAATCGTCTTTTAATCAGTCGAGATGATTTAACATTTTATCATAGAATACAATTGATTTGTTCAGCTGATTACTTGATTAATCGCCATTTGTTTTACATCTTTGGACAATTTGAATTTACTCACATTAATTATCTTCTGGTGAGTGTTTAATGAAACTCTTTGGAAAATTAACTTTTCTTTCCTTTTTTCCAATTCTCAGGTTATCATGGAAATTATATCACACTTGCTATTACTCATTGCCAATGCTGGTGCTGGTTGAGTAATAATTGTCAATGGCAAAGCTGATTGTCGATTGTTTTAGTTGATCAAATTGTTAATGCTCTAGACAAATGTTTGAATCAATTTGTTTCCAACAAATTAATCAAAACTTGTAGCAAAAGAAATTAATAAAATAATTTGTAGCTCAACAGTTTCATTTCGATTGAATCATCAAAAGCATCGTCAGTCGCACATTATTTTCACATCTTAAACTCAACAATTTCAACCTTCAAAACCTCAAAAAACTCAAGAAAATTCTTGATATTCAACTAATGTACAAATTCAAACTTCGACTTAAACTCAATTTCACTATTGAATGCAGCTAATAATAGCAATGTAAAGGTAAGATTAACTTTTCTCACGTGAAGATTCATTCCGTATGAATGTTGACGGGAAATTTTGAGAAATGGTGAATAGGAAATTCGATTTTTTATTCATCATGAGACGGTTTTATTTCTAATTGGCTGGTCAATTGAAAGCATTAATTTCTTAAAAAATGGAAAAACTTTGTTTTTGGTTTTTTTTCAATTCAAAGCAAAGGGAAAATATTTGCTTCTTGTTGTTCAAAAGTTGGTCTTTTCAGGAATAGTTACCTGGTAAGTAACCGGTTACAATTTACTACGGTTGCTGTCTACTGAATCAATAGAGAATCTCGCTTTTTCAGTCAATTTTGCCTCAAGGAACAATGAACCTGGAACATTTTATTCTTACCTTGAGTACAAAGAAATGCAAGAAGCGCTTTGTTGGATCAACATTTTTTTGTTAAACATTGAGTCTACAATTTTCATTTGGTTAACGATGTTGAACTTGCTTGGGCATGTTGATGATCAAGTTACCATGCAATAACCCTTATTGTTGAAGGTCTTCATGGTGATTGATTACAACATTTTGGTGTTTCTCATCTACAAATGATATCGGTTGTCATTTTTACGGAATCCGTGTTGACTTTTTATCTCGAAATCGGGAAATTTGACTATTTATCAAGTTGTAATTAAATCTTCGCTTCTCGCTATGACCATGATAGTACAACCGTTATTAGTGATGAATGTTGATCAAGCGTACGACCAGAAAAGAGTTCATGATCAGTGAACAAGTTTTTGATCCAATTACAATCTCTTTAAATCATTTATTTCAGGTTTTATCAGACGATTAACTGATTATCGATAAATTGCTTCGAGTATTCATTTTAATTGTCAAGGATTCAAATGTTGAGGCAAAAGCCAATTTTGGTTTTTTATCCAATGACATTGAACTCTTTACTTGTGGCGTCCTCTTAACTCAAACTAAATAAGTTTTTTTATTTTTCTCTTTTCTCTTTCTTTTTCCCTTTCTCTTTCTTTCTCTTTCTTTCTCTCTCTTTCTCTCTCTTTCTCTACTCTTTGGACTCTATACTGTTGGTTTTCCCTCCCCAACTTATAACCAGTTAGTTGGTTAAAGGAGCCAATCTGGCCAAACATTGACTTCCTCCAAACCTGGAAAGTGTCTAAAAATAAAAGTAAGTGTACTGCTTGAAAACATGTCATTTGGGCCTTTAACCGGGTACTCATCGTTTGACATAGAACCACTTTTTACTTGTTCAAAACTGACTTTCTCTTTTTTTCATTGGGTCATCTCTTTTTTACCGCCAGTTATTCAACAATGATTCCGCAAGGAACTGGTGGGATTGTTGAAAGTAAATCAATTGCCGCCGTTAAAGCTCGAAATGTTGTTTACATTCGTTCTGCTCATCAAACAATTTTAAATGATCTAAACTTGTTAGTACCAAGTGGAAGTGTTTACGGTCTTATTGGACCCTCTGGTTGTGGTAAAACTAGTTTCCTTCGTGTTCTTGTGGGATATAAAAAGCCAACTTCGGGATGCATCCAAGTGTTTGGATTAGAACCAGGTTCGCCTGGTCTAGGTATTCCTGGACCAAATATTGGTTATATGCCTCAAGATGTTGCTCTTAATAGTGATTTAACCATCATTGAAATGCTCGTTTACTTTGGGCATATTCATGGTTTATCAAACGGTGAAATGATTAAACGTATTAAATCTCTACTAGCATTACTTGAACTTCCTTCTGGTGACCGGTTAATTGGTGATCTTAGTGGTGGACAACAACGTCGAGTATCATTTGCATGCACAGTTCTTCATAGACCTAAATTACTGATCCTCGATGAACCCACAGTTGGTGTTGATCCTCTTTTACGAGAAAAAATGTGGAGCTACATCAACTATTTAACATCCACTTTTGGTGCAACTGTTATTATAACTACTCACTACATTGAAGAAACTCGACGAGCCGATGTGGTCGGTTTTATGAGAAAAGGTCGAATCTTAGAAGAAGATAATCCTTCTCGTATCATCACAAAATACAATACATCTTCCTTAGAAGAAACTTTTGCTTGTCTCTGTAGAGAAGACAAAATGCGAAAAGCATTATCTATTCCATCGGTGCATAATAACAATAATGTTACTGAATCCAATTCAGTTGAATCCTTTAACCACTCTTCCTCTTCACCCTCTTCATCAACCTGGTCATTATCATCAATGTTTACCAATTCCGATTATTGGCGAATTCAGAAAGCTGTTATGAACAGGATTTTTTTACGATTTTACAAAATGAAACCTGCTTTTTATGGATCAGGGTTAATTTTATTTTTCATCATAACAATTTATGGACTATTCTATGGACGGACTCCTCGAGGATTAAGATTAGGTTTAATCAACGATGAGAAACCTGCTAATCAAAGTCTACTTTTCCTGCAATCAATTAATCCTGCTCATTTAAATATTCGACCCTATCAAAGTCTTGATCTCGCTATAGATTCCACGAAGAAAGGGATAATTCACGGGTTTATCCATATTGGGGCAAATTTTTCTGCCACAATTCGATCCAAACTTGTGCCTTTTGACGATAATAATGGCTATTATTATGCTAATGGAAGCATTGTTAATAGACTAAGTCAACAATTAAATTCATCTCTAATCACATTTCATGGTGACCATACCAACATTGTCTTAGTAATAACAATATTCCGATATTTACTATCTGCTTATCGTGAATTTACTCTGAAAGCAGCTCATCAACTTGCTTTGAACCCTAAACTGACTGACTTACCTATTCAATTAGGAGATATAATCTATGGACCTCCCGACCTTGTCAATCCTGCTAATGATGCCGATCGTATTGAACAATTGATGAATAACAATGATGATATATTTGGTGTATATCAATTCATTTTACCCGTTTTCACCGTTTACCTTGTTTTTGTGCATTCAGTCAACTTTTCATTATTCAGTTTAATGAGAGAAAAACTGGACAATATGTTTGAACGCAATTATGCTGCTGGTATAACAACCAACCAACTACTTATTGGACATTTCGTGGTCTACTTTGTAACCACAGGAGTCCATGTTGTTACACTTTTCCTCTTTCTTTTATACATACTCAAAGTTCCCTGCCAAGGTTCAATTGTACTTGCCTGTTTTATCCTGTTGCTTCAAGTAGCTTCTGGAATCACATCCACTTTCATCTGTGCCCTTTTCTCGTCCGGCATCGGTAACATGTTCATATTTACCACTGGTTTCATGTTGGCCTGCATGTTTGTCGGAGGTGTCCTTTGGCCTTACGAAGCTTTACCTTATTACATGAGATCTTTCCGTTATTTCACACCTTTTTCAACTTCACCTGAAGCTTTTATTGGAGTAATGGTAAAAGGACTTTCCTTTACTCATCCCACAGTCTATCTTAACCTGGTTGCTCCGTTCATCTACTTCATCATTACTTCATTAATCTCATTCTCAGCCTTCTCATATTGAGCAAATAATCCTGATCATAATTGAAAGTCAAAATTACGGGTTGAACTGAAATTTTTCAGATGGAAACCATGAAAAGAATCAATTGTAAATCAAGCTTTAATCCTTGATTACTGTACCTTTTTAAGTAACCCAATTCACCTGTAAAATATCTGTTTAATTTATATTTTCATTTCTTATGTTTATTCATATCAATGTCACGCTCATTAATTTATTGTCATAATGGAAGTTCCATTGTTTTTTCATTTGCCTTTTAATACAAACGCATTGATTGGTTTTACAATCAATCCAAATTGAGAAATAAATAAATTAAAAATTGAATTATGATTCATCGAGCTTCCAACATTTGACTTTAATATAAAATAGAAGCCCAAGGTGTTAATAAACACATTTATTTAACTTAAATTTACAGTTAATTATAATTGAAACTGAACTTGAAATAAAAACAAATTAAAGGTTATTATTAAAAAGTATTTTTTTACAAAATTTAATTACGCTCTTTATGGTGAAAATAGTTTTAATATTTTATTTCAATTAGAATTCAATATTTTCAAGCTTCCAGATTAACCTTGACCTTATCAACTAAATTTACTGATCATAATTTAAATTAAATTTATCATTCTCTAGATGAATATATACTAATGAAGAGCATTTTAACCAGATTAAAATTAATGATCAAATGCGTTAGGTGAAGTGAAGCATAATCTTGAGTAATTAAAGGTAAGGCTCCAAACTCGATGAATAAATTAAATAATTATGTCAATTCAGATCAATTTAAGCTTCTTATCTGTGTTTATTCATGACTCTGTGAGCATTTAATCATTTATAATGAAAAGTTAAATGTTGATCAAAGACAAGAAAATGAAAAATTTTGAAAGTCTCTTCATATTTCGAGTGATAATCGGGTGAGTTGAACATTTAATAAGTTAACTGTGATTAATTTGAATTGTTGACACTCCATTGAAAGACTTCGGTGGAGTCCGAAGATTCATGTTCGGTGAAAAGGTTTGACCAGATTTGAGTTTATTCAAGTTTCTGCTTTTCTCATGAAAATGGCGATGATGATGAGCTATTTTCTGTGAATTTGAATAACAGTTTGGACATTTGATTGTTGGCTTGACTGGAGTGAATTGAGGCTTAACCAAAAGGTAAGGAATCGAAACAGTTTGGCCAATTTTCGCAAAATAATTTCTATCGTATTTAAGTCCACGCATTCGGTACAATTTACGACGATAAGCCATTGGACTTGAAGGTGAAGGACGCAGTTGATGATAAGGTCTATTGGAACCAGATAAATCTGTAGAACTGTTTTCACTGAAAAGGAAAACAAATTGAGCGTTCAATCTCTGATTAGATAATTTACTTTTTCCATTTTCATTCATTCTTTTAATCAGATTGTCGATCATTTAAATCAAAGTACAAACTTGAATGGCCTTAACTTGGTTTTACCAACATTTACTTTGCATAATTACCTTGGTTGACCAACAGAAAGAAAACTTTTCTCTTCTTTTTTCTTCATTCTCTGCCCTTTTCAATGGTTTACCTTTAAAAGCCTTTAGGCTAATGTCTTGGGAAAACCCTGGTCAATGTTTAACCTTTCCTCTAAGTGACCCTCAGGCTGTACCTAACAACCTTGAAAACAATTTAGAAGAACTTTTTTGTCCAAAAAATGACCATTTTTGTCTTCTAAAGAAAGGGGACAGAATGTGAAAGGTAAACAAAAAAAGCTCTGGAAACTTCGAGGTTCTTCGGGTCAAAGGTCTTCAGTTTATTTGCGTGCAATTTTCTGTCTTTTCGAGGTTTTTTAATGTTTTTTGAATAAAAAGCAAAAATATTTTCATTGATTGACTTGGAAACTTGGCTAAAGTGCAAAGTCGATCATTAAACAGTTTCTCGACTTGTCATTTCACTGTTGCTCATTTGACGATTAAAAAGTTTCCTGTTTGCTGTAAATTGAACCTTTTATGTGTCGTCTATTAGTCGAGTCATTTGAGCATGATTTGGTAAACAAAAGCAATGCTAATCCTGGTTAATGAGTTTATACGAAACTAAAAGATGGAGCCTCTTTGATGATGTTTGCTTTAAAACAGTTTTTATCCTTTGCACTCAAATGACTAAGGTATACTAATCACTAACAGTAGGTAGATAACCCAATTACACCTGGAATACTAGACAAGGAATTAACATTTGAGTCCGGCTTAGGGTCGAAACTCAAATAAGCTGTTGGATTAACATTGAAACTTGAAAAACCTCCGCAAAGCCATTTCAGTTTTTGTTTCATTCATTCACTCAGCATCATGTTAACTGGTCAAACTTAAATCTATTTGCGGAATAAAAAGGAACATTTATACTAACTTGATTATAATTGAATTATCTGGACTATTTGTTATTGTCATTCCTGGAAATGCGAGGTTGACATGATCAGAGTCTGGATCGTGATTCATAACCATTGTCATTTTCATTGGTGGCATCCGATAGCGAGGCATATTGAAGGAAAATGGTGGCACTTGAACAGCAAAATTCATTGAACACTCAACAAGTGATTTTAAAATTAACACCGAAACACAGATCACATTGAATATCCAATTTACTTTCATGGTCACTGATTAACTCTGGAAATTTAATTGAAAATCACATTGATAAATGGAAACCATAGTTTAATAGGAAAAGCATTTTTGAGCCTAAACGGTTTACCAACAATAAACAATTGAACCAATTCAAAGGGTGACAAATGAACAAATCTTTAACCATTTACTTTCTCTTAAGATGTAAACGAGTTTCCCTCCTCTTTTCAGTTCAAATATTAATTTGAGTTACTTAACATCGTTAAATATTTGGGACATTTTGTTATTTCTTATGTTCGTTTATTGTTTTAAAGTTTAACAATAATTGGTTAACTTATTAATTGTGATACTTTCATTACTCGATCGTGTTTAACATGTGGTTTAAATATCAATGTACTCAATATTCGTATCAATAATTTCATGGACGTCTTGATTAATCAAGTTTCCATTCATTTAGGTTTCAGAAATATTGAACAGAAATCAATATCGCTTGTTCATCGATGTTCAAAAGTGCTTCAGGTTAAAGATATTTGAGTTAAAATGATAAGTAACGATAAAAAGTTACTGTTTAGAGCAAATTCAATAATTTATTTTTTTTAATTAACTAATATCCATTTTTGGGTTTTTTTGAGCTGCCATCTATTGCATTCAAAAGCAATTTGAATTTTGCTTCAAATGGGATTTGAAGGTAAAAATTTATAAATCGTTGATTGATTCGAGTTAAACATTATTCAAACATTGGATTAAGCAAAGTTCAATTTGCGTTCAAGTTGTACTGATTAAGCACGGTAAAGGCTCGCAAGAATGAATTATGAAAAAGTTTCAAGAAACATAGAAAGTTACCAGAATCAGATTTTTCTCAGATTCACTTTTCATTTCGATATAAGATTCATTTTTTGATTGAGAAAACATAATTGACTTTTCAATAGTCATCGAATCGGTTAATGACTTAAATAATTTTATCTTGAACAAATTGCTTGACAAATTGAGCTGTGGTTACAAAAATTCACACAATTATTTACATTGTTAAATATTCAAAAGTTTCAATCAACTTTCTTTTCCATATTTTGAAAATACGATTGATAGAAGTGCACTGTGCTAATGAAACACTGAGTAGCAACGAATAGATTATTAAGAGTAACTCTCTTAAGGATCAGCTAGAACCAGCATTGGCAATGAGCAACAACAAGAGTGATATCATTTCCAGAACAACCTGAGAAGCCAAAAAGAGGAGAATAATTTGATTTGAAATAAAATTTGTGATTTTCCTTCAATTGAAAACTTACCAAAAGATAATTAATGTTATTGAATTCAAATTTGCCAAAGATGTAAAACAATTGACGATCAATCAAGTATTCAGCGGAACAAATCAAATGTATTTTATGATACAAGTCCAAATCAATGCGATTGATCAAAACTCGATTAAACTGTTTATGACATTCATTAAACTATAATAAAAAAAGGCAGAAAAGAAAATTTGATTCAATAAATTCAAATAATAGTTGGTAAAATTACCTTTGTTTTAACAAAACTACCACTCAACAAGGTAATCGATTGGCCACAAAGAAAGTTGAGCATACCTAACATGACCATTGAACACTTGGTAAAGGTAGTTAAAGGTACAAAAAAGATCAAGTATAGAATGGGAATTTGAGCGATAAAAGTAAGAAGAAAAATAGTCGAATTGAGTTGAGTCCAAAAATAGTTTGCTTTATGATTCTCAATCAACAATCGAACTAAATCATCTTTTATTGTGTCGAGAATTGATGAATGTGATCGAGTGGAAACTTGACCACTTAATCTCGAAGCAATCCTCTCATACTTCAATCCAGTATTGAACGAATAGAACGCAAATATGAATGAAAAGTTAACACAAAAGGAAGTGGAACAGTAACCAGCAACAGCACCATTGAAACCCGAAAGGCTAATAAGTATGAATTGTCCGAACGATTCACTTTCGATGAGCACTGGAATATACAAGCACCAACTAAATAAAGAACCGACCAATAGATTTGCCTTTAAAATGTGAAAGAAGAAGTAAATAACAGTCGATTTGGATTCTTTATTCCAATCAGAAATATCATCATCTAGAATGGCTAATGCATGGAACCAGAATCTTTTTTTCGGTGAAATGTTCGTTCGCTGGCATAAGAAAAGTGAAGACCAATAGCAAAAAAACCAAAGAATGTTGATGATTATTAAGAAGTGATGAGGTTTGGGCCAGTTAACAGCGTAATCTCCTGAGTTGAGTGCAGTTGAATATTCAAGTTTGACGGTTACAAAAATTATGAATCTAATGGTTATGAGAGTTTGTAAGAATATCACAGTAACTCGAAAGAAGACAAAGTACCATGGGGATTGTACGGCCAGGTAATTAAGCTTGAGCAAGGAAAATTTATTCAAGTAATTAGTGAATGAGTTTCTCGCCATTTTGTTAGTTTCTCTCGATTAATAGTTACTGGATCAATTGGAATGAAGTTGCAGAGAATTCACTTTTGGATTTTAATGTCAAATGCCAATTGCTAAAGTTTTAATTTCATTTTTTCATTTTTCATCTTATTTCGAAATTCATTCTTTTTAATTGATCGTAAATATTGATTAACCTTCAATTTTAACCTTCTTTGTCTTTGAAGAAACTTTTTCAGTAATAATCATGATATATTAGACTTTTGATCAAAATGAAGTTAATCTAATGAGATGAGCAAAGATTCAGAGAAAATAATTGGTCGATATTTTAATGATTTAGAGCCACAAAGTTCATTAGTTGTTCTATAATAATTCATGGTAACAATTTGAAAAATTCTTAAAAGAGTTTCATGCAAAATTGATTAAAAGATATGTAATTTGACCTAAGAATGCAAATTCTTCTTCTTTAGCGGCAATCCGTTTTGATTTTGCTTAAGATTAAGAAGCTGAGCTTGGCACCAATATCCGTTTTAAAATAGCAAAAAGAACAAAAGTTTTCAAGCTTTAAACAATTGTAATAAGATCGAAATTTGATTAATATTCGAAGATTCGATTAATCCAGACTAACAATACCACTGGCCACTCTGCAAATTCAAAGAACTCTAGGTAGTAGGCAAAGACATGCACGGAATAGCAATGGCTCAGGTAAATCAACTATTGCACAAGTACTTGCGTTAATAGTTTGCTCAGAACAGAAACTGGTTTATCCTAAATTAATTAAAATGCGATGTCAACGCATCGGCGAAACACGAAGACAAGAATATCATAATTTAGTGGAAGATTAAATCAAATCTCCTCGTGGATTTATATGAACACATCGCTTAAAATGTCAAAATTATTATAAGGATAGCAGTTTCCAAGCCGCGTTTCAATCGTCTTCAGCAATTTCAGAATTGTAATGATTTAACTAATACAATACTCAGCGCAAGTTATGCATAATTTAAGCTTGTGATAGACTCAAGTGATAGCCAACGCTGAAAGAAAGTGAAAATTGCTTAGGTAGAGTTTTTGAAACATAAATTTTATTTAGCAAATGAAAGATTTAAGGTAATTTTAGACTTGATTTCCAAATCACGAGGCGATTTCCTGATTGTAAGACTCAGATTTGTTCAATGCTGATCATCTACCAGCATTAGCTAAGAGTAATAGCAAAAGTGATATGATCTCCAGTATAACCTGCAAGGAACAGAAGAGAAAAAACTTTTGTATAAAATTTTAATTTTGTTGTAATAAAATACTCACAAGAAGATAGCTCATTTGGGAGAACTCGAATCCTCCAAAGATATAAAACAAGTGACGGTTTATCAAGTAATCAGCTGAACAGATCAATTGTATTCTGTGATTGAAGTTGAAATCGTCTCGACTGATCAAAACTCGATTGAGTTGTTTGTAGCATCTATCAAACTGCAACGATAAAACAACAATAATTTGTGTTTGTAAGTTTGTAATGAATCGAAATGCTTACCTTTGTTTTAGCAAAACTACCACTTAGAAAGGTAATCGATTGTCCACAAAGAAAGTTGAGTGCGCCCAGAATAACCATTGCAAAGTTGACGAAGTTAGTCAAAGGTACAAAGAAGATCAAGTATAAAATGGGAATGAGAGCGAAAAAGGTAAGAAGAAAAACAATCGAGTTCAATTGAGTCCAGAAATAGTTTGCTTTATGATTCTCAATCAACAATTGAATCAATTCTTTATTTATTGTGTCAACAATTGTTGGGTCTGAAAGCGTTGAAGCTTGCTTTGCAAATCTCGAAGCAAGTTTATCGTACCTCAATCCAGTTGTTAACGAGTAAAAAGCAAATATGAACGAGAAGTTGACACAAATCGATGTACAACAGTAGCCTGCGACAGCACCATTGTAACTACCAAGACTAATGAAAAACAATTGTTTAAGCGATGCACTTTCGCTGAGCACTGGAATATAAAGAACCCAACTAAATGCAGCACCAAGAAATAGATTGCACTTTAAAGTGAAAAAGAAAAGGTAAATAATGATTGATTTGGTGCTATGCTTCCAGTCCGAAATATCAGCATCAAGAATGGACAAGTACTGGACCCAGAATTGTTTTTTCGGTGCATCGTTCGTTCGTTGGAACAAGTAGAATGAAGACAAACCACAGGTAATCCAGAGAATGTTAATGAATAACAAAAAGTGATGAGGTTTAGACCAGTTGATCGCGTAATCACCGAAGTTGAGAGCAGTTTTATGGTCAAGTTTGACTGTTATAAAGATGATGAATTTAGTGTTGAGAGCTATTAAATTGAAAATTGCAAAGGCACGAATAAATAAGTAGTACTTGGGCGATTGTACCGTTAAGTAATCAAGCTTAAGCAATGAAAATTTTCTTAAGTAGTTGGTCAATGAATTTCGCATCATCTTCGTTGGATTTGCAGTTATTGACATAATTGAATCTATTGAATAATTACTTCTGGTCCCTTCTTCGCCATGAATGTCAATGATTGAGTTACTTTTTGACTTCTTTAGCAAAAGTTATACTTTTTAATTGATCATAAAGATTGATTATGACCTTCATTGTGATCAAATTATGCATTTAATAACAAAAAATAAAATCTTTTAAAGTTATTATCATTAAGAGGTTCCTTGCTACAATAAAGTTAGCGAGGAAAACTATAATTTAGACGAGAAATGGTCGATATTTGAATGGAGTAAATTACTTATAATGCAACACATGTTTCTTTGAGAATTTTTTTATTGTTTTCTGTCAAAATTTGAAAAATGCATCCATTGTGAAAGATTATTACTGCTTATTCAGACCGATTCATACTTCGAATTATACTTTGAATTTTGAGAATTGATTTCTTAGCGAGAAATATCTTCAAGGATGCTTAAGTTATTAATATTGTAAAGGTTGTAAATTGAATGAAGGTAATGAAGTCTTTCCAAAATTCAGACTTCGATAACTCCTCAATACCAGAAAATTTACCCGATCTAGCATGACAACAGCAAACTAACCTTTATGAATTTGAGTCGTAGAAGCAATATTATCAGAAATGTCCCAACAACACTAGACCTTATGTAGTATTGTCCAAATGATTTGCAAGAACAAATAATAAGAGTTTCCATGAAACAAAAAACGTAAATTGCTTGAAATCAAGAACAATAAGCAACGTTTATTCGTTTTTCTTGTGAGTTGATTTTAAGGCAGGGTGGAAAGGACGGGAAGGCAAATAAATTCAACTTAGAGGTTATTCTCGGCCCCAAGGGGGCTCGCTTCTTATCCATGAATATCTCCAATGTAGTGATCTAACATATACTTATAATCCATCATCAATAATTTTATCGATATTCGTCGCAAGATTGCCTGAAAAACCACAGTTGAAAAGTTAACTTATTTCAAATGACTTCAATGATTTGGGAATAGTAATGCTTTAATTTACAGTAATCAGGGTAAATTACACATAATTTGAGCTTTTGATAGACTCAAGTATGATCCACATAGTAAAAGCTAACGCTTAAGGTACTCAACAAGAATTTTAAAACATAAATACGACTTCTATTATCCACCAATATTCATAGCAGTTGAAACTTTTAGAATGATTTAGACTTTATTTCCTGACTGTGAAACTCGTAAAATATAAGACAAAGATTTGTTCAATGTCGATCAACTAGACCAGCATTGGCTATGAGTAACAACAGGAGTGATGTGATCTCGAGTATAACCTGCAAATGACAGTAGATAAAAACTTTCTTGAATAGATGCATAACTTTTACTTTATTTTTAGGTGTTACTCACAAGAAGATAGCTTATTTGGGAGAACTCGAATCCTCCAAAGATGTAAAACAAATGGCGATTTATCAAATAATCAGCTGAACAGATCAATTGTATTCTGTTATTGAAGTTGAAATCATCTCGACTGATCAAAACTCGATTGAGTTGTTTAAAGCATCTATCAAACTGCAACGACAAACAGTGAAAAAGTAATTTTTGTTGTGCAAGTTTGTAATTAGTCGATATCCAAATGCTTACCTTTGTTTTAGCGAAACTACCACTTAGAAAGGTAATTGATTGCCCACAAAGAAAGTTAAGTGCGCCGAGAACGATCATTGAAAATTTTATGAAATTAGTTAAAGGTACGAAGAAGATTAAGTATAAAATGGGAATTAAAGGGAAGAACGTACAAAGAAAAACAATCGAGTTCAATTGAGTCCAGAAGTAGTTTGCCTTATGATTCTCGATTAACAATTGAATCAGTTCACGATTTATTGTGTTAGTAATTTTTGGCTCTGAAAGAGTTGAAGTTTGTTCCTTCAGTCTCGAAGCAAGATTACTGTACTTCAATCCAGTGCTTAACGAATAGAAAGCAAAAATGAACGAAAGGTTAACACACAAAGCAGTGCAAGAGTAGCCTGCAATAGCGCCATTGAAACTATTAAGACTGATGAAAAAAAATTGTTTGATTGATTCAACTTCACTGAGAACTGGAATGTACAAACCCCAACTAAAAGCAGCACCAAGAAACAGATTGCTCTTTAAAACGCAAAAGAAAAGTTTAATGACGAATGATTTGGTATTATACTTCCAGTCCGAAATATCAGCATCAAGAATAGATAAGTACTGGACCCAGAACTGTTTCTTCGGCGAAATGTTTGTTCGTTGGAATAAGTAAATAGTATACAAACCACAGGTAAGCCAAAGAATATTGATGAATAGCAAAAAGTGATGAGGTTTTGACCATTTAATCGCGTAATCTCCCAAGTTGAGAGCAGTTCTATGGTCAAGTTTAACTGTGATGAAAATGATGAATTTAGTGTCGACAACAATAAAATTGAATATTGCAAAGATACGAATGAATAAGTAGTACTTGGGCGGTTTTGCAGTCAAATAATCAAGGTTAAGTAATGAAAATTTGGTCAAGTAATTGGTCAATGAATTTTGTATCATTTTCATCATTCTTTGATTTCTCGAAATAATTATATTTCTGGCTTCTTCTTTACCATTAATGTCAAATGTTTTAGTTACATTTTGATTTTTCGGAAAACTTATGCTTTCTGATTGAACTTAAAATTGATTGTGACATTCATTGTAACCAAATCGAGTGTTTGCTAAGTAAAAGACAAAATCTTTGAAAGTCATTATCGTGACCTAAGAGGTCCCTCGATAATATAGGAACAAATAATGGGATTTCAAATGAAATAATGAAACAATAAAAGTATTGCTCGAACTCAATAAGCAAAAGAAAAACAAAAGCACAACCGGAATATAAGAAGAAATCGAAATGGAGAAAAGTATTCAGGAAAATTATTACATTATTTAGTTATTACATGTTACAATATTGTTCTGCCTGTTGCATCGATCTTTCAATATTTCATGATATTGCTCTCGACATTCACCATGAAATAAACAGATTTGGTTAAAACTTATTTTCTGGAGCCTTTGATAATTGTTTATTATCTATAGTAATCCGTTATTTCCATGAGATCATTATTTCATCAATAAAATATATTATAAACTTTATTTAATGATCGTTTCGGTTACATTTCCCGTCAATTAAGAGGGTGAAACTATTCAAATGGAGTAAATTACTTATAAAATAATGCAACACATGTTGTTTACTGTCAAAATTTGAAACTGCATCCATTGTGAAAGATGATTACTGCTCATCCAGACCAATTCATCCTTCGAGTTGTACTTCGAATTTCGAGAATTGATTTCTTAGCGAGAAACTCAGCTCTTCAAGGCTATATAAGTTAATAGTAAAAGTTTGTAAATTGAATGAAAGTAATGAAGTCTGTCCAAGATGCAGACTTCGATAACTCCTCTATACCAGAAAAGTTACCCAATTTGCCGGTGACTGAAGTTAACAAGACAGTGAACTCAACTAAATTGATTTGAGTCTTAGAAACAATAATATCATGAATGTCGATACAGCAGACCTAATGTTGTATTGTCAAATGATTTGCAAGAACAAATAATAGGAATTTCCATGGAACAAAAAACGTTTTACTTTAAATCAAGAACAATATTCATTTGCAAGTTTCATTCGTTTTTTTGTGAGTTGACTACATTCAGGAAGGGAATTAATTCATTTAGAGTTAGTAGAAAATTACTTGTGTAATTATTTGTGTGATTTGAAGGCTCGAGACGAGGAAATTTGTCCTGCGAATGCCAATTGCGAAGTAATTTTGCTGATTCTGCTTCTTGAGAGACGATTCCATAGGGACTTTTCCTCCTCGACGATTTGCTTGGACTTGAAATGAACGTTGATGGAGCTCGTTTAAAACTGACGTGAGTTATTTTCAAAGAGTTTTCTGAACAGATTCACTGAACAGAGCAAAACATTTTAGTACGAAAACATTTAACCTGAAATCTTCTGAAGATTCAAGTTAATATCACTATTCAGCAAAAAGTAGAGAAAGTTTTATCCAGGTTGCAGCATTTGTTAGAGTTGTCGAGAATGTCAGTTATTCTTTTAGAGATATTTTTCGTTTCTTTTGTTCAAGCTAATTTTCGATTTTCGTATTCACAATTTCTTATAATAGGCATCGGTATTTCTATTTATAATCCATCATCAATAATTTTATCGGTATTCGTCGTAAGATCACTTGAAAAGTCACAGTCCTTTGAAAAGTTAACTTATTTCAAATCGCATTTCAATTGCATTCAATAATTTGGGAATAGTAATGCTTTGATTCACAAAAATCAGTGTAAATTACACATAATTTGAGCTTTTGATAGACTCAAGTATGATCCACATAGTAAAAGCTAACGCTTAAGGTACTCAACAAGAATTTTAAAACATAAATACGACTTCTATTATCTACCAATATTCATAGCAGTTGAAACTTTTAGAATGATTTAGACTTTATTTCCTGACTGTGAAACTCGTAAAATATAAGACAAAGATTTGTTCAATGTCGATCAACTAGACCAGCATTGGCTATGAGTAACAACAGGAGTGATGTGATCTCGAGTATAACCTGCAAATGACAGTAGATAAAAACTTTCTTGAATAGATGCATAACTTTTACTTTATTTTTAAGTGTTACTCACAAGAAGATAGCTGATTTGGGAGAACTCGAATCCTCCAAAGATGTAAAACAAATGGCGATTTATCAAATAATCAGCTGAACAGATCAATTGTATTCTGTTATTGAAGTTGAAATCATCTCGACTGATCAAAACTCGATTGAGTTGTTTAAAGCATCTATCAAACTGCAACGACAAACAGTGAAAAAGAAATTTTTGTTTGCAAGTTTATAATGAATCGAAATCGTATGCTTACCTTTGTTTTAGCGAAACTACCACTTAGAAAGGTAATTGATTGCCCACAAAGAAAGTTAAGTGCGCCGAGAACGATCATTGAAAATTTTATGAAATTAGTTAAAGGTACAAAGAAGATTAAAAATAAAATGGGAATTAAAGCAAAGAAAGTACAAAGAAAAACAATCGAGTTCAATTGAGTCCAGAAATAGTTCGCCTTATGATTCTCGATTAACAATTGAATCAGTTCACGATTTATTATGTTAGTAATTTTTGAATCTGAAGGAGCTGCAGCTTGTGATTTGAGCCTCGAAGCAAGATTATCGTACTTCAATCCAGTGCTTAACGAGTAGAAGGCAAAAATGAACGAAAGGTTGACACACAAAGCAGTGCAAGAGTAGCCAGTAATAGCGCCATTGAAACTATTAAGACTGATGAAAAAAAATTGTTTGATCGACTCAACTTCACTGAGCACTGGGATGTACAAACACCAAGTGAATGCAGCTCCAAGAAAAAGATTGCTCTTTAAAACGCAAAAGAAAAGGTTAATGATGAATGCTTTGTTGCCATACGTCCAGTCCGAAATATCAGCGTCGAGAATGGATAAGTACTTGAACCAGAATTGTTTTTTTGGCCAAACATTCGTTCTTTGGAGTAAATAAATCGTAGACAAACCACAAGTAAGCCAAAGAATGTCAACGAATAACAAAAAGTGATGAGGTTTTGACCATTTAATCGCGTAATCTCCCAAGTTAAGAGCAGTTTTGTGGTCAAGTTTGACTGTAATGAAAATGATGAATTTAGTGTTGAGAACAATCAAATTGAGTATTGAAAAGCTTCGAATAAATGTGTAGTACTTGGGCGATGGCGCAGTCAAATAATCAAGGTTAAGTAATGAAAATTTGGTCAAGTAATTGGTCAATGAATTTTGTATCATTTTCACCATTCTTTGATTTCTCGAAATAATTATATTTCTGGCTTCTTCTTTACCATGTCAAATGTTTTAGTTACATTTTGACTTTTCGGGAAACTTATGCTTTCTGATTGAACTTAAAGATTGATTGTGACATTCATTGTAACCAAATCGAGTGTTTGCTAAGTAAAAAACAAAATCTTTTAAAGTCATTATTGTGACCTAAGAGGTCCCTCGACAATATTTGCGAGACAAACTATAATTTAGTGACGAGAATCAGTCGATATTTGAATGGAGAGAATCACTGACAAAACACAGATCTCTGAGCACCAATGTTTCTTTGAGAATTGTTTTATTGTTTTTTGTTCAAATTTGAAAAATACAACCATAGTGAAAGACGATGACTGTTCATTCATACATTTTATTTCAGAATTGATTTCTCAGCAAGAAACATCGCCAAGGCTACATAAGTGATTAAGTTTGTTAGTTTTTTGAATGAATGAATGAACGTAATGAAGTCTGTCCAAATTGAGGCTTCGATGATTCGTCAATACCAGAAAAGTTACCCATAAATGTCACTGAATGATAGTATACCTAATGTAGTATTGTTCAAATAATTCCCAACAATAAATGGGAACAAATAGTGGGAACTTCCATTGAAATAATGAAACAATAAACGTATTGCTCGAAATCAAGAACAATAAGCAAAAGAAAAACAAAAGCACAAAGCACAACCAGAATAACAGAAAAATAAAGAAAACAGAAAAGCTGAAAAAGTATTTAGGAAAATTATTACAAGTTGTTACAATATTGTTCTGCCTGTTGCATCGATCTTTCAATATTTCATGATATTGTTCTGGACATTCACTGAGTAAACAGATTTAATTAAAAGCTACTTTCTGGAGCATTTGATTGTTTATTATCCATAGTAATCCTTTATTTTTTAGAATTATCTTTCCATCAATAAAATAGGTCTTTTTGAAAAATACTGACATTAAAATTTTCATAAACTGAACTTTATTTAATGATCGTTTCGGTTACATTTTCCCGTCAATTAAGAGGGTGAATGTATTGACAATATAAATATTTATGTAAATTTATGCATTTGGATTGGAAAATAATGGATTCTCTTTGTTGGACAGATCTCCAGTGAGGGTCTCTTGGAATATATTGTCAATAAAATGCGAAAATCAGTCAATAACATGAAAGTATTGGTGAAAATATGCAAGTGACTTTTGCAGCACCCGGTAATATTAATATTTACAAATTGGTAATGGAATGTCAAATAGTTTTACTTCATCATAACATTTACATCAAACGTTATTATGAATAATATAATGTTATTATAGTAAAAATATGAATAAGACATTATACAATTTCTGGTCTCTTCTTTACATATTTGATGTAATTTTTTCCAAATTAGATGCATCATGTACAGTATCATGAAAATCAGAAAACAGTATATAAATGAACACTGAGCATTGCTCAGTTAATGCCAGCATTAGCAATGAGCAGCAACAGGTGTGATATGATTTCCAGAATCACCTGAGAATTGAATTAAGAGAAACAAAATAATTTCAATCGACTTGCATTAAATACTCACCAGAAGATAATTTACGCGAGTAAATTCAAAGTGTCCAAAGATGTAGAACAATTGGTGATTGATCAAATAATCGGCCGAACAAAGCAACTTTATTCTGTGATATAACCTTAGATCATCACGGTTGATCAAAATAAGATTTAATTGTTTCCGACATTCGTCAAACTACAGAAATAAAATTCAAATTGCAAATGAAAATATTTTAAAAGCTTGAGACAGTTAACGTAAAACACAATTATAAAACTTATCTCGATCTAGTTACTCTTGACACAATATAACAAATACTCAAATGCATACCTTTGATTGAGCACTACTGCCACTTAGAAAGGTAATCGATTGTCCACAAAGAAAGTTAAGTGCACCAAGGATGACCATTGAAAATTTGATGAAGTTAGTCAAAGGTACAAAGAAGATCAAGTAAAGAATGGGAATTTGAGCGAGAAAAGTTCCCAGAAAAACAGTTGAGTTCAGTTGCGTCCAAAAAGAGTTTGACTTATAATTTTCAACCAATAACTCAATTAAATCACGATTTATCTTGTGAATAATTAAGAAATTCGAAGGTTTCGAAACTTGACGGCTTAATCTCGAAGCAATTTTATGATATTTGAATCCACTGTTTAAAGAGTAGAACGCAAATATGAAGGAAAAGTTGACACAGAAAGCGGTGCAACAAAAGCCGCCAATAGCTGCATTGAAAGCTGTAAGGTTGAGATGGAAAAATTGATGATTGATTCACTTTCGATGAACACTGGGATGTACAGACACCAACTAAACGCAGCACCAAGAAATAGATTACACTTTAAAGCGGAAAAGAAAAGGTAAATGATGATTGATTTGGTTTCTTTAGTCCAGTCATAAATATACTCATCTAATATGGATAAAGAATGAAACCAAAATTGTTTCTTGGGTGAAACATTCGTTCGCTGTAACAAGGTAACTGCACACCAACCACAGAAGAACCAAAGACTGTTAATGCCTAACAAAAACTGATGAGGTTTCGGCCAGTTAACAGCATAATCTCCCCAAGCGAGTGCAGTTGAATGGTCAAACTTGACGATCATCAAAACGATGGTTCTAATGGTTGCAGCTATTAATAAAATAAGAACTGATGTTCGAATGAATGCATAATACCAGGCTGATTGAACGGGTAAATAAGTAAGTTTGAGGAAACAATATTTGTTCAGATAATTGGTCAATGAATTTTTCATCATTCTCTTCATTCTGTTTTCAGTTCTTTTGCAAATGCAATCTAAACTGCATTTCTTCATTAATGTCTCATTTCATGATTTACTCTTTTCAAATAATCATAACAATTAATCTTCAGTTAATGCCAAGTCATTTTGGTTTCGTGAAGAAATAAAAATCTTTTTCATCATTATCATGATTTTAAAATTTAATATTACACAATTAACGAGAATCGATCGATATTCGCATTATCTCAGAACTTTTATGCAAAAAAAATAAGTACATAAAAGTGAAAGTGAATTTAGGTTAACTTAGTACACTCTAACAAAAACGTTTATCCCATTCAATTTTCAATTAAATTTTTAAACTAATAGTCAAAGAATAAGGGTTTTGCATATTGCGAAATTAAGATTTATTTTCAAATTAAACTTTTAAATAAACAAAAGGTCTTTGGACAAACGTATTTGACTAGAATCGAAGTATGAAAAATTTAATATCAATGCTATTATAAAAAAGTTTATCCCATTTGCTAATAACTTGGAAACTAGAATCAATAATCAATTGATCCACATTTATTTTGAATGACCTTAATCATCCGTTCTATCATTAATGCACCAACTTTTTCAACGCATAATCAGGAATATTATTCCAGCAATCAACAAACAGCAGTCTAATTCGATTATTGTTTTGAATTGCCGTCCCTGAGCGTAAACCTTTCGGGTTAGATAATCCCATTGATTCTCGATAGGGTTGAGGTCAGGTGAGCAAGCAGGCCACTGCATAGTTTGAACTTCATTTGCTTCAAGCCAACTTTTAGTGGATTGAGATGCATTGATCGGTGCATTTTCCTGTTGAAAAATGTTTCCAGATTGAGTGATTAGAGTTACACATGGGAGTAAAAACTCTCCAAGAAGATCCAGATAATCATTAGAATCGTTTTGAGGGATCAGATACAAGTCTATTGTAAACTGTCATAGGAGTGCCCTGTAAATCAAGCTCATTTGCTCCTGTAGCGGAATTCACAAATCTGAGGTGTTTGATCTTAATTATTATTAGTATCTTTAGTTAGTTGATCTCGTTTGATCACCAAACATGAGATCAATTCGTCATTTCGATATTTCAATAAAACTCTTTTATTCCGGTGAACTCTTTCGGTATTAACCAACAGTTTTCATGTTAAATATATTGCCCAAGAAAATGCTTGGATGATCAGGATTTTGAAAAATGGTTGACCGGTTGGCATAACAATTCAATTCTTGATAACAAAAGGTTTTCCTCATTTTAGATAATTTTTCTAGTCAAAATGTTAACTTTAACCGATTTCCTGTGATAAATTTCCTTCAAATTTTTACCACCATCAACCACAGCAATGACTCAACTTCTTGATGGGGGTATTATTCACTCATTTAAAGCCAAATATTTTAATCTTTATATTAATTATTTACTCGACAATAGTGTCGATCAACTTAACCAATTTGTTAAAACTATAAACTTACTTAATGCAATCAAGGGGATTGATGAAGCTTGGATATCAGTCCAAGAAGAAACTGTGACAAATTGTTGGTCTCATTTCGGGTATAATAGACAGTCTATTAATGCTAACCATTGTTTCAATGTTAAATCCGATATTGATTTATTTGTTAATTTGAATAATTTGAAGTATGATTGTTGCTCTCAAGAAGAGATCATGGAAGAAATTACTTTTTGTTATTTTGATGATTAAAAATACACTATATTTAGGAAATTTGCTCTTAGTTTAACGATACCGTGAATACAGCATTTCTCGGTGAGTTTCGTCGAGTTTTCACTACCTTTAGTCAAGTTTTCAAAGGATTTAGTCAAACCGGTAGAGGGCGAGTTTACTAAGGCTTTTTTGTCATTAGCTTTAGTCGGTTGTCTTAAGCTTTAGTCAAGTTTTCAAAGGATTTAGTCAAAGAACTTTCGGTCAGCTTCATGCAAAAATATTTAAAGAGTCAAACTTAATCTTTAAATGTATCTTTAATTTAATTTTCAATGATTTGTTTAAGTAAACAAGGTTGCATGTATTTCTCTATATTTCTGAAGTAATTAGCACAATGTATGTCACTAATTATTGACGATTTTTCATCAATTTTTGCAAACAATTCATCTTCATTAGTACACTAAGCTCTTTTGATTCAATTTTTCCATTGAGAAAAAAGATTCTCAATCGGATTTAACATTGGTGAATATGGAGGTAGAAAAATTTGCTCATGTTGATGAGTTCGGAACAATTCTTTAACTGCTTCTGTTTTGTGAAAATTAACATTGTCCATTACGACAAATGCATTTTCAATTTGATGGAATTGAAATTGTTGCTATAGTTGGTCAAGAAATGAATGAAAATCTTCACCATTATAAGGTGTGTTTTTGGTTTCAAAGAAGAATAAAGAATTGTAATTCATACAGGCACAAACACTATAATTTTTCCCTCGAATTGTTTTTACCTTTTTGTTAGCTCTAGAACCGATAGCTGACCTACCATAATTAGTTCGAGAATTGACTTGTATTCCGAACTCATCAAAAAAGTAAATTTTCTCTCGATAAGGTAGCATTGAGATGAATTTATGAGCGTAATCAAATCGAAGGTCAATTGTCCTTGGATCATTCCTTCTCTCTGGTATCAAAGAAACACGTTTAAAAGAATAAAAGAAACCAGAAAGAGTCCGATCAATTGTTGAAAGACTAACACTTTTACCCAATTCATTGGCAACTCTCGATTGGATTTGATTCAGAGTCAAACCAACATTTTCATCAATCCAACCACGGATCAATTGACGATCACTATCACTGAGTTTTGGTTGTTTTCCTTTGGCCGTTTTTTTTGTTGACCTTCCTTCCTTTATCCAAACATTTTCAATTGAATTAATAGTTGTTCTTTTGACTCCGAACAATTTACCTATTTCATCTTTTGCTACAACTTTGGACAGAGCTTGAATGATCTTGGCTCTAAATTCAGCCCACAATATCTAGACAGCGACTGAAATTAATTCCAGCAATTCCATCATTCCGAGCGGATATCAAGATACCTGATAATTTCAAGATGCTGAAATCAGGAGAAAACTTTCTATTAGCTGATAATGGACTCGAAGATAAAATTCTGATTTTCGGAACTGTGGATTTCTTTCGACTAATGTGCAATGCTGCATCTATTTATATGGACGGAACTTTCAAAACTTGTCCAACACTTTTCCAGCAAATTTACTCATTACATATTCTTATCGATAACTTGATGATACCGATAATCTATGGACTGCTTCCAGGGAAAAGTGCTGATATCTACAAACGTTTTTTTCGACTCATTCAAGATATTGCATCTGATCTTGGAATGACCTTTAGCCCGTCAATTTTCCACATCGATTTCGAGTCAGCAGTTATCTCAACAATCAAGCCACTTTTTCCGAACGCAATTATTCGTGGATGTTGCTTCCACTTTTCTCAGTGCATTTGGAGAAAGTTACAAAAACTTGGCCGTTGTAGCAGATATCGAAGATTCTGACGATAACTTGAATTTACTTTTTGAATATTTTTACAATATTTTTTTCTGTGAAAACGCGCGATTTCCTCGACTCATTTGGAATCATTATGATAATCAAGGACCTCGGACTACAAATCATGTTGAAGGTTGGCATAATTCCCTGAATTTAGCCTCAAAGATTGCTCATCCTAACATTTGGAACTTTATCAGATTAATATAAAATCAACATATTTCGTTTTCAGCCAAACTTTTATTACATCGTAACGGAGCGCAAGTGATTAAACTACCAAAAAAATACAAAGAGCATCGAGATCGCCTCAATAATTTGATTAATAGTTACCATCAATACGAAATCAATGCAATTAATTTCTTGAATAGCATTAAATATTTATACTTTCGATAATCGATTAATCGGAACTATTTTACTTTCTTTTTCTCTTTCTTTTGCTCCTTCTTTTTCTCTTTCTTTTTCTCTTTCTTTTTCTCTTTCTTTTCTCTTTCTTTTTCACATTTCATGATAACTTATAAAACCCATTGATTAATTATTGAAATAAAATTATGATATTATCTTTATTGGATCCGATACTTTTTAAAAGACTTGATATTTCATATCCATATGTTTAATCCTTTTTTTGCTTTAGTCTATTTTGCTCATTTGTACTTTGCTTAAAGCTTTTCGCTCAAATCTATTTTTTATATAATATATAATATAATATAATATAATATATAATATATATGTAAAGATTGGTAAAAATTAAGGTTAAGAAATGAGAAAGAGAAACGTAAAATGTTAGACTCCTCTTTCCATTCTCTGTCTTTTCCTCTGTCTTCTTAAACTACGTTTTTCTTGTTTAACAATGAGCAAAAGGGCTAACAGTAAAACCCTTTTGTTGGGTTCAAAAATTGATCCTTTAGTTTTGCCTGGTTGAACCATTTTTAAGGAAACCAAAAGGATTCCTTGTTAGTTGGAAATTTGTGCTAACTGAATGAAGTTGAATTAATGGGTTGTCCATTGGACGAAAATTGTTATTAATAAAATCATTCAATTTAAGTGAAATTGTTCCAATTAGTGGAAATTGTCTCCATCTTTATCATCATCATTACCTTCCTCATCACCTATTCACCATTTTCATCAAACCCAGATCATCATCTAACTGGTGGTGTTGATTCTCTATCTTCATCAACTTTTCCGTTTCCATTGTCACCTCAATAAGAGTGTTACCTCGTATTGACCAACATCACTCTTATACTCATCATTATCATCGTCAATTCATCGTTGGTCAATTGGATTATTTCAAGTTGTATTCTTCATCTTCATCATCAATATCATTCTTCCTCATCATTAACTTATTTCAACCATTTAAAGGAATACAGTCAACCCTCTTTCCTCTTACTATTATCATTGAAACAGATTAATTGTTAACCTTCACCAGATTCGGTTCCATTCTCTCTCCATTGTAATTAATAAAATTTGACCAATCTTTGTCTTCATCTAACCTTAACTGAGATAACCTAAGGAATCAACTGAAAACATTATAAGTCGACAGGATGAATCCTGACCAAGCTGATCCAGCATT